GCCAAATTGACAAGTTGCTCCTTCTACTCCTGGGACTTTTGGGCAAACCTTGGCAAATATATTATTTTCTTCTATTTTTAGATTTGTTTAGTGATAACAAGCCATGAATGCTTTGTGTTAAGAACATAAACACATAATTAGCCTATATTTGTAGGTGTCATTGGTGTTCTCACATATTTTGGTAGCAATAATGAGACATTTGTTATTCAGAAAAGTGGCATCAAATTTGCCTCTGTGAAGACGCTGACAGTGTTTTGCTAGTAATTCATGTGATATTGTGAAATCTTTGAGGCAATTATTATGGATATTATCTAGTTCTATCACATTCCAGTTTTGCTGAAAAAACTAGAGTTTCAGTTACTTTCCTTGATGTAGCTGTTTCAGTAAGTAAATAAACATTTAGTAAGTGCCTACTGTGTGCCAGACATAGGCAGCATGATAAGCACTGGGAATATAAATGCAAAAAAGAAAGACAGTTCTGGTCCACAGGGATCTTATAATCTAATGGAGGAAGACAACAAAGGAATCTGAAAAGGGTAGGGGTGGGAAGGAGGGAAGAGTAGGGATGGATGGAAACAGAGGAAGGTGCCCAGCACTGGAAACAGGATGAAGTCTAAAAGCAGCGTAGCTGGTGGACAATGGGGAGAAGACTGTGTTGAGCCCCCTCCTGCAATGAGACTCATGACTGTAATCAAGTCAGAGGATCCAATCAGGGGTACTGATGTGATGTGATTACCAAAGCTGATTCAAAGTTTCATTTCTGATCCAACTTGCATTTTTGTTATTAGTATTAGATTTCTTATAGCCCTTTGGTAACCATTTTATATAGTGCTGAAGGACGAATGACAAACAAAACAAGACATTGCAAATTTCCTGCTTATAAGCTTGGTTTTCAGTTTTTTTCTTCTTGATTTTTTTGCTCCTTGTGTTTGTAGTAAAATTTTTTTAAATTATGTTTACTTGTTTATGTTGTTCTTTGCACTGCTTTGATTCCTTGTATCTCCTTAACTTTTTGACTTTTGCTTTCAATGGCTAATTAAGAGAACCTAGAATGTCTGATATACTTTTGTTTTCCAGAGCCCATTCTACATGTTCCTCTTTAATTGGGTGGCACATAATTAAAATTATTTTACTGTGCACAAAAGTTAGCTATCAATGTAATCTTAAAATGTCTTTCCATAAAATGTCTTTCTTAAGCCTCTTCGGTCAAGTTGTTTCTTTCATGGTGATGTTTGTCTTTTTGATATTCCAGTCTAAGTATATCCATCTACTCTTCAAAATCATTTGAGACTTCAATGCCATTTGTTTTGTTATTAGGTAGATTTCTAGAATTTGCATTACATGAAGATTTTCCAACTCATTTCATATTCTTCAATTTTCCCCTCTTCAGATTTAAAAAACTCTTCAATCTCAGCTCTTATTTTATCCATTCTAGGTTTAAGAAAGAGATTATTTCTTTCTTATGACTGCCTCACATCAGTTCTGTAGTATATAGTGCTGAAGATACCATTGACAAAAAGATCATTTTCCAGTTTTGTTATGAAACCTTTCATATTTGTTAGTCCGTTTCATATGCACTTGTGTGTTTGTCTACTTTAGTGGCAAACATCATCTGCACTGAAGCACTTCCAGCTTCAGGCAGGATGTTGTTATGTCTGATTGGTTCCAGTCTCTTGCTTTGTTGTAGTAGAGAAAGAAGAACCACTCCCTCACTCCATGGTTTATCATCAAAGACTCTTTCGAGGAGGGCCAGCCTGTATCCCTCTACCTCTATCTTTGATGCTTATGAACATATGAAATACATTGGCCAATGACGTAATAGACCCCTGATTACAGTACAACTCAGCAGTGTTTCAGGTTTCCTAAAAATTGTTATTATTACTGTTGTCTCCTATTTGTTATTATTGTTCTCATTCTTATCATCTTAGACTCAATGGAGTTAAGGTAAAAATGGTCGATGGACATGGACACCATCCTACTATTATTCCTTAATATTTGATGTTTGGCAGACTATTTCATGGGTAGATAAAATAATTGCCTTTTGTAACTAAATAATAGCATTGTGACATAAGCTCATCTTTTGTATACTCAATGAAAGCATCTTTGCAGAGAGAACAAAAGGAATCATGTATACTCTATTCTCTTTCCATATGGTTTTGATTCATTCTGCTAGTTCTCTATGTTTTAGGAACTTTTCATTACATATAGTCTGGAGATTATTATTATTCAATATAATAACATTCATTAAAATGTTATTCTTAAATTTTTGAGGTCCAGTGTAATATCTGGGTGATTGAGGGCAAAAGTTTGTCTATGGTAATCCTCTACTTCCAGTGCTTACTAATCTGTTGAATTCTCAGGAATATTTTTGGGTTTGCATTTGTAGCATGCAAATTTTCTACCATTTCTTCGAAACATCTGTTTTGGTCTTTATGTCTGGCCTCCTTAAAAATGAACTTTTTGCAATTTCTGGTAACAATGACCTGATCTTGTGCTACTATCATAAATTCCTCTATTTATGTAAACAAATCTATATTAATCAACCATTTGTTCAATGCTTCTTTGTTGATTCGGTTATGTGAATATTGCTAATATTGACTATGACCAATAGATTCCACTCTTGGATCTCAGACTTTTCATAAGCTCCATCCAGAGGGAAACCAAGACAAGTTACTTTTGATAAATCCAGTATTCTATACATATTCTCAACCTCTACTATCCCCCATAAAGTAGTATCTTTCAGAAGTATTTCTATAAGTTTTCAACCAGTTTATTATGTTACCTGAGATCATTTATCAATTCCTTTCTTTCTTCTTGTGATGAGGAAATGTAGTTTTCTATAGCTGCCTTAGAATGATGAGTCCTGTGTTTCATTAATTCTGTATGGGTTTGTGTTTAGATATTTTCTAAATTCATCATTCATTTTATTGTTCCAAAAGTATACTTTAAGATTGGCATTGCCAAAGTGTGAACTACTCTCTGTTTTCTCATTGTTACTATTCTTCAGCACCAGATTCCCTCTTGTACTGCTGTTAGACTGCCTTGCCTCTGCTATACCCTTCATTTCACCCTCCTCTCCTACCTTTTCTCTTTGTTTATTCAAGGAAAGTTACTCTCTGTCCCTTTTGCCAGACCGAAGCTGAATCCCAGGAGCTGAATCATTTCCAATGCTATCATGTGCCAGGAATAGCTTTCTCCCTCTGCACTACCAATCTATATACCTCTCTGCTTCAAACAAGAATCCTTAGCTACCTGGGAAAGGGTAAAAGGAAGATGGAAACAAGAATTTCAATTCCTTGAGATCTTTGCATATCAATGGCCTTTTTTTCTTTTTTTTGGTCAGACCTAATTCTCAGCCTATTTCATCACCTGGGGACAGGAAAATCTACCTTGCTCACAGGGTTGTAATGAGGATTAAATGACGCTGCAAATACATATATATCACACATGTGTATGTATAACTCCGATGGGCTGGCTATATTGTTGGAATGCCAAACTTACGTTTGCCTCAAAGACTATTTTATGGAGAACTCACACAAGGCAAGTCACAGGGAGGTCAGAAGAAGTGATACAAGGACACTTTCAAGGTCTCCCTGAAGAAATGTGGAACTGATTGTGAGACATGGAAACACTGGCACAAGACTGCCCAGCATGGTGTGCCTGCATCAAAGAAAGCACCATGTCCTCTATGCGCGAGGCAGAATTGCAGTAGCTCCAAATAAGTGAGATGCACAAATTTAGAGATATCTCCACTCCAAATGTTCATATGGACTATTTGTGCCTGACCTGTGGCAGAGCCTTCCGAGCTCATATTATTTGGCTTAGCCACATTTAGACACTCTGTACATTGACCCTGATGTTGTGATGTCATTTTGGTCCTCTTTGAGCATGAAGGACAATAACCAATTTGTATATAGTGCTTTGCAAACCTTTGCTTTGGTATATAAAATTTAGCTATTATTATGAGTAGTAGACTCTCAGTTTGGAAACTCCTCTCACTAATACAATCAATAATTCTCTCTAGTATATAGTCTTGAGCTGCCTAAGGGTCCTGGGTCCTATAGCAAGTATTTCAGAGACAAGACTTGAAATCAGTCCTTCTGGAATCCAAGGATAGCCATCTCTCCACCATGCCAGGTTACACCCTACTTAATCCACCTCAAATACGTCAGTCAAAAATTAAGGGAGAAACACAAAAATGTTAAGATAAGCATAAGTTGTTCAAAAAGCCATATTAGCATTTTAAAAAATTTCTTTTAAAATAGATCATACCTTAAAGTGTCTTACTGCCTTTGAATGTACGAGAGGATACTGGACCAAGGATTATTTTTGAATGACATTCAGCCCATAGGAGTTATTGAATATTAAAGAACTATTAGTTGCTACAGAAGATGAACTAGTCAAGACTCTTAAGATTAAGATATAACTAAATCTCTAAACAAAAATTTTTAAAAATAATGTTTTTTACTATAAATCTAACATGTGCCTGGCACATGATAGGGTAATTTCTGATTTGTTTTTCTGATTAGATTAGGATACTTTACACATAAGAGCCCAGGATCTCTAAGTTTTTCTTAAGGGGAAAAAAATGACATGGCTTCCTCACTACACATTTTAGATATTAAATAAAATTGAACAATTTTAGGATCTTATGATATAATATACAATACAGTATATTATGTATATAATATATGATATGACATAAAAATATCTGTCAGTTTCAGGGTATCTGTAAAGGTCTATCAAAGTCAAAATGCAATTTTAATTCATTACATAAAAATCTCCAGTGTTGCCTAAATATTATTCAATAGTACTAAGCTAAGAAAAAGATTATGTAGCAAACTCTGCCTTGCAGAAATCTCCTGCTATTTTTTTTTACGTGCATTATATTAATACTGATGTAAATTGACTGCTGTTTTGGTGCCTTGTAAGTCGGGACTCTGGGAATATTGTCCCCCCAATGCCTCCCCTGCTCGGCTTGGCCATTAATCATGACTTGCCTGTCTGGAGATCTCCCACGGTTTGGTCACAGCTCCAAGGTCACAGGCTGTCATTAGCATTGATCTGAAAAAAAGAGTCAAACAAAACAGGCTGAATAATCTTCTGTTGCATTTCTAAACACACCCTTCCCAGATACATAAATAAGTAAAATAAAAAGGGAAAGAAAAAAGAGGCCACTTCGCTCCTTTTTTCTCAAGGAGAGGCAGCACCGTTTACTGTCTTCCATATTCTGCAGTACCTCCATCATGCCAACCCAGGCAGACAAAGCCATCGCACATCGAGTGACGGCCATTTTGTTTTGCCTGCAGCAGCTCAAGACGGGCTAAAGACTACTTACCCCACAACTGCAGAAACCAAAGTTTATTTTATTTTTTTAAAATAATTTATGAGTTTAAAAAATGTGGTGGCTTTTTGTTGTTTTACAATCAACAAAGAAGCTGGGCATGCACTACTGCATTTATAACTGATGAACTTATTTGCTGGCTTATTATGGGATGACAGGACTCTGGGAAAAAAACAAAAACAAAAACAAAAACGAACAACATACTGAAGAGGCAGCTAAAAAAAAAAGCACATAAAGAGCCTTCCCCCCCTCTTCCTCATATGCTATATAAAGCTAAGATTTACAATAAGAATCTCATTGTTTCACTATAGTTTATGGCTTGGTTATGACCATATTTTCTAAGCATTAGGAAGAGGAATAATATTCATCTATAAAAAACCTTGCTAATGGACCACTCAGAAATGCCATTCTTCATTTCAAAAACCTTCAGCGGCTCCCCATTGCCTGCTGATCAAAGCATAAACTCCTGACGCAGGTGTCTGGATCTCCTCAACCTGGCTGCTGCGTACTTTTTCAGTCTTATACTATTCCCTCATTCACATATTCTGTGTTTTAGCCATGCTAGGTTATTCTCTGCTCCCATTTTTGTCCTGTCTAGCCTCCATTGCTCCAGTATCTAGAATAATTTACCCCCTTCATCTCAGCCTTTTGATGTCTCGCCCTTCCTTTAAGTTGGGCTCAGGTAACATACCCAGGGGTGTGCTGGTAAACGTTTAACAATTGACCCTTCCAAAAAAAGTATAGGGACCCTCTATAGTTTAACATGCATTATTAACATTTTCTCTATTTTTAAATCTACAAAACAATAAATCAAATACTGATTTACACTTTGCTGATTTCCAAGGCTGCTTATACCAAAAATTTAAATCACAAGCCAGTTTGAGTATACCCCTGTAATTCTTCTCCTGGCCTTTAACCCTATTATCATTGAGTATGGTCCAGCGGAAAGCCAGTTGGGTCATAGGACTTTCTACTTACTATCTGTGTGACCTTGGGCAAGTCACTTATCCTCTTTTGGCCTCAGTTTCCCCATCTGTAAAGTGAGATGCTTGGATGAGATGATGGGGAAGGAATAAACCATGATATAGCACCTGGTTCCAGATACTGTGCTAAGTGCTTTATAAATATTATCTCATTTGATCAGATGACTTCTGAGGTCCTTTCTAGTGAGTCTACGATCCCAGGATCCTTAGATTTCTTACAGAACATTGCCCGAAAACTCCCTTGACCAGATTTCTCATTCTGATTAAACTATGCTACCTTGTGGACAAGAGTGCATGGTCACTAAGCCTAGCCTAATAAAAATCAATTCTATCTTCTATCATGGGTATTTGTGTACATGTTTTCTATTTCACTATTAGATTATAAGATCTTTGAAAGCTCATGTTCATAATCCTAGAATCTAGCATAGTTCTTTAATAGATGCTTATTGAATTGAATAAAAATCAATCAGGTTGAATATATCTTTGTTGTTCAGTTGTTTTTCAGTCTTGTCTGACTCTTCATAATCCATTTGGGGTTTTCTTGGCAGAGATACTGGAGTGGTTTGCCATTTCCTTCTCCAGATCATTTTACAGATGAGGAAACTGAGGCAAACAGGGTTAAGTGACTTGCCTAGGGTCATCCAGCTAGTAAGTGTTTGAGGGTAAATTTAAATTCAGGAAGATGAGTCTTCTGACTCCTGGCCTGGTGCTCTATCCACTGTGCCACTAGCTGCCAGAATACATCAGGTGAATACTTGAAGAAACATCAATTAAAGTGCTGAGATGTTGCATCACGGCAGAGAAATGACCCTCAGAGATGGACCTGGTAGGGTTGGTCAGGACTTTGCCCCAAGCACCAGGATCCAGATAGCACATAGACCTTAATGCCCTTCTCCCCATGGTGGAACACTGGCTACCCAACTAGCCTACTCCCTTGCCTCGTCCCTTTGTCTTGTGCCCAAGAATTCTGGGGCTGTCATATCTCTCTTCCAGGGACCACCATCATGCAGAATGCCTGGGATCAGCCTAGGATCAGTACGGATAATCGTGCTTTGTAGTTACATTTATAAAACAGAGATAGTCCATCCTTGTGACAGATTATCACTACTAACAGCCAATGAACCAATTTATTTGTTTAGTATCTACTAGAAGTAAGGCACTGTATTAGGCACTATAGAAGACATAAAAAGGGAACATATGGTCCCTGCCTACAGAGAGCATGCCATCTTGTTGTGAAGATAAGACATAAAAATACAAAAATATAATTAATCATGTAGGGAAGTAAATGAAAATGAAATGAGTGGAAAGACAGTGCGGTATGAGTTGTGATAATCAGAGCAGGAGTGATCACTATGGTAAAAAGGTATTAGGAAGGGAAATTGAGTTGGGTCTCAAAGAATGAATAGGTTTTAAATGGTCAGAGAAAGGGGATAAGAGGATTCAAGATAAGAGAATCTTATAAGGAAAGGAACAGAGGAAGTAATATACAAGATACCTTGGGGACAGTGAGTAGAATATTTTGAATGGGGCAGGAGAGGGTGGGGTTCACCTTGCAGGGCAATAGGAGGATATATTGGAAAGGAACTTTGGGGTTTTATTGTGTGGAACAGAGGGAACCACTGAACATTGCTGAGTAGGACTCAGATATAATGACAACAGTCCATTCCCTCCACCAAAATCGTCTTGTGTTATTCAAATTTTCTTTCCTTTGTATTTGAGGGTCAATCTTCTGGCTGTTTGTAGAATTTGTTTTTTTGTTATTAGAATTGTTAGGTTTAACCACCATATGGCTTGGACTTTCTGAAGGAGACTTCTTGTAGCCTCACTCTGGAGATGCCTCTGCCTCATGGTCTCCTCCTCTGATGACTCACATTCCTGCTCGGGACCACTGTTTAAGGAACTACCCAGGCCATCCATAATCGCTTCTCACTCTGCTCTGTTTTTGACTCTCTGGACTCTTCTGCTCTCGTACATCTCCACTCTCTTCCCTCCCCACCCTGTTCAGCTCCCTTCTATCTTCTGCTTTTCCTATTAGAATTAAGTTTCCTAAGGACAAGACTGTCTTTTAAAATTTTTTTGTTGGCTTATATTTGTGTTCTTAGTGCCTACCATATAGTAAGCACTTAATACATTGCTTTATCTATCTCAGGGAGATTGAATTTCCCAAGGTTGTATGGATAGTCAGCAGCAGCAGCAGGATTTGAACCAAGCTCCTTCAACCCCATAGCCAAGTACTCTGTCCATCATATCACATCTATAAATTAGAGTCTTAGGGAGTTGTTTGGGGGCTATGGGAGAGTAACTTGTCCTTGGTCACATAGATAGTATGTGTCAGAGTCAAAGTCATGTTGATTCCAAGGCTGGCCTTGTATCAACTATACCATGATACTTCTCTTCCTTATTTAGTCCAAGCCCCTCAGTTTACAAATGTGGCTCAAAGGGGTAAGTGACTTGCCCAAGGACACACAGATAGTAAGTAGCAGGTCCTATGACTCCAGATCCAGCTATCTTTCCATGGAGCCGTGATTAAAGACAATATCACTCTGGATAGGAAATAAGAGACGTGCACAAACATGAAAACAAATACCAGGAGTAGAATTTGTTAGGGAAAGTTTATGTCTATATATGTATGTATGTATATGTATGTATGTGTCTATATATACATATATCTATGCTTAATTGTAACCTGTGGGAAGGGAGGAAGAGGGAGAAAAAGAACAAAATAAAAAGTGCACAGCAGAGAACAAAAGAAAACTTACAAGGAAGCAAAGATGGACAGCTCTCAACACAATGCGTAATATTTATTATATAGGCTTTCTTGAAATGGAATTTTATTGCTATGTGTTTTGAATCCTCTCTTATGTTCTGCTGTGCATATGACATGCTTTTTCCCCTTCTCTCATATTTAAGTTTCAATATTTAAGTTTATGTTTCTTTTTCTTTTCTCTATTGTGTATTTAAGTTTTAGTATTTAAGTCTAAAATAAATAAAATAAATCACTCTTAGGTGATGAGACAGTCAAATGCCAGGAGAGGTGTTATATGTGTGTACAGGAGCCAACTCAAACTGACTCGTGAGGGTCAATTGTTAAATTTTTAGTGTAAGCATTATTATCTTTACTCTAATATGAATGACCAGAATCTGTGCACATTTTGAATATAAACTCTGCTTGTATAAAATTATTCTTATGCTTCTAGGTGACATTTTTAGAAAAAACAGGATATAATTCTAAATAATAATGAAACAAATGAACAATAATATTTTCTTACCGAAATATATCACGCTGAGTTTTGACATTCCAGTTGTAATCCCCTTTACTGACAAGTTCAAAGAATTCAGTTCTCCTCCTGAAAGAAAATCATATAATAAAAAAAGTCGAGAATGAATTTTTTCAGCCCTTGAGGTTACATAAACACATTTACTGGGAGAATATAAGAGCCCTGAACCTCATACACTAATATTGGAAAACATGAAGCTAATGCTCTGTCAAGATGAATAATTTTTTAAAAAAATATTGATGCTTCAAGAAAGAGCAACAAGCATTTTCTGAATATATTCATAAGAGAGGTGATTACATACACCTAAAGTAGGAAACAATGAAGTATTGCACTTATCAAGACAATGATAAGATTGTTAATGCCCACCCAAATTCAGGGGAAGAGACCAGGGGGAC